TACCGGAAATCCTCAAAAACTCACCGGAAAAAACCCTCCATATAGCCTGCAATCTCATCTCCTCATTCACACTAACTAGAAACAGAGCAAATCAAAGCCATCTGAGGGAGATTCTAAGAAGAACCCAGTCCAAGCATTGCTTCCCCTGCATTTGGTTCTCACGCCCTCTGCTCTTACCGACAACATCGATAAGTTTTTCTCGACATCGCCTCCATCGCGCTGCTTCCGTCACTCGCTCCACTTTCCAGATCTACACCATCTGTCAAAGCATCGATAAGGCCTGCCGCTTCTCAGACATTGATATCCGACATGGGCCATGACGCCTACTCGAGCGAAAAACTCAATCGTTGCGCATGCCTCTCTCTTGGTCGACGAACTAGGTACATTCGAAGAGGTTGCTAATCCGACTTGTGAGATGGATCGAGGACGAGACACCAAGGGAAACTTCTCGACAGAGATGGCCGCATCTTTCGACATAATAGCAGGCCAACATCTGTTAATTTATTTTTTCCCCTCTGGCGAGCATCTGATGGTTCTTCTTTAATATGAATTTGGGTTTGGATTTTCGAGTTTCGACGAAGAGATCTGGGGGTTGGAGGAAGGTGAATGGGCGATGTGGGGATGGGAAAAAAATAAATTAATATAATTTTTTTATTTAAAATATTAGGTGGCATCTAGGTGGTATGGTTTGTCTAGTTGGAGCTGATGTGTAATCCGAGCTGGCGGCCACATCACCACAATGTTAATGTTACTAACGGAATTGCTAACAACGTTAAAGTTTGTAACGGAAATGGCTAAAGTTGTCAAGCAAATTTTCAAAAGTGGCTATATGCCTATATGAGTGTATTTTTCAAAAAGTGGCTATAATTGTCATAACGCGAATAGTTATGGCTATGAAAGTGTATTTTGCCAAAAAAAAAAAAACAAATCATGGTCATCAATATCAACATCACTGATCGAGATAAAAGTTTTAAAAGGAAAAATATTAGAGGGTACATGTTTCTGCTAGCAAGATCGATCAGTTTCCATATTCTTATGAGTTTCAAAATCAGGTGCAACACTAGTTTTCTTCTTCAACAACTACCAATAGAAGAAAAGGAAAAAGGCATGGAAACATAAAACATTGGCTCTATTTTTTTTATTTTTTATGAAACTTATCCTCCAATTATTTTTTTATGAAACATTGGCTCTATTATTGGCACTTTGTTGACTAAGTTTCTAGTAAACACGGTAAATGAACTAAAAGTAATTAGTATATTTAAAAATACAAACGTAATGCAGTAGAGATATAATGCGATAGATATCCATGAATATTATCCATGAATATAATTAAACTCATAAGTATGCTACTATTTCATTAGGATTTTGCTAATTGAACGGGCTGTCACTTTCTTTGCTCACCCATGGGAAGCCTCAATCAATTAGTGGAAAATGCATTTTTCTACTGTCACACGTGTCACATGGAGGTTGTTGCATTTTTCTCCTGTGTTTGTGATTTGTGCGGAATTCAGGTTGTCAACCTGTCGGTCGATTCGGACCCGGTCGAGCTAGTGGGTCAAGGGATAATAGGTCATCCGTTTTAGTCGGTTTAGCCCAAAAATATGAAAAGTCATTATATTATACTTATTTTGAATCCAACATAAACAAAACAACCGTACTTAAACTCCAACACACTTAAATAACATCAACTTAAATTCAACATAGTAAAAATTCAATGACACTTTGAAACGAGCAACCCGCTGACCTACTCGGACGGGCCAACCGCCTGGGTTTGATCGGGTTTGACCATTTCTGGGCTAACTCTCAAATGGGCTATTTTAACCCGTTTTCAATGCCCGGTCCGGGTCAACCCATGGGTCGACCCACGGGTTGACAACCTTGTGTGCGATTAATTTTCCCTCACATGTTTTCCAACCTCCAAAGAAAATATGAGGCTTTAAATAAGAATGATATAGGTTCAATCCGGAGCAGGTATCTCGATATCCTTACTCATCCTATTATATGTTAGGTTTGAATTGGATAATTTATCATATATCATTTGTCGGGACAGGTCTTTCCATATGTGTGTAATTAACAAGAAAAGCATTAGAAATATTTATTTTTTCATTGAAAAATCAAGAAACAAACTATAATATGATAAACTTAGTTAAATTATTCAATAAAATTAGGTTCTTGACTATCTCCAAATTCGTTACAGCTTAAATTTGAGGCAATAAAAGTAAAATCCTAAGAATTTGAATAAAATTACATGTAATTTAGGCAAAAATGTGCCGAGAATGTGGTCGGTCAGGACAGGTCGGCTACAGGGGTACCCATGCCTGTCCAACCCCAAAACAAAATGATAAATGGGGCGATTTATGATGGGGAAGAGAAAGTTCAAGATTGACATTATAGACGATTACATTGATATTTCAATCATTTTATTGTATTGCATGTTTGGTGTTTGAATGTAGTGAGGAACTTTTATGTAGAGTCTTAGACTTTAAATATGGTAGAAGCACAGTTATAAAAAAGACGTTAGAAGCACTGTTTCATTCCTTTATAATCAAGTTTCTTGCAGCCATTAGATTTGGACGAGTGAACAAAAATAACTTTGTTGGGATTGGTTAGGGGTGTGTGATTGCGGAACGCTGGATTCAGATACCAATCGTGTCACATAAAAGCAAAAATACGAAAGACTTAAATTGAGAAATTAGATATTTGTAGCATGGAATGTTGATTGATAACTGACACGCTAAAACACAACACCTAACAATGGACAAGTGTAACCAATGAAAGGGACTGCAGTATAGTGGCACAAGTAATAAATATTGAATCCACGGGTCTCTAGAGTTACTATTACTCAGCTTCAGTTCATTATCTAGCAAACTAGATTAAGGATTGATTAACTAAACTACTCTACTAACTAAACTAAGTAAAACTACTAATTACAGTTTGGGAACTCACTTAGGTATGATTCCCTCTAGCTCCTCAATTAGGTCCAAGTTGCAATTACCTTTGGTTGATCCACTGATGATTAAACTGCGGAAGATCCTAAATTAGCTTGGAATCTCTTAAGCTGACCAAGCCCTCTCAGTCAAACTACCCGGCAGACGACTAGTCTTCACCAGGATAGAAAGCTGAGGCTATGAACACAGAACTCCACTACTGGAATGAATTCCAGTACAAAGCAGTGAATTGATTGACTCTCGCACAACCAATTCACCACTATCAATCAAGGAAGCTCTCTCAACCTAATCAGATTCTATCTATCATAGGTTAAAGCAGAGTCACTCCCTACCTCTTATACTATTCACAGAAAGAAGCTAACTTCTTAGTAGTTATAATAATGAAGATCATAACATGAAATCTTGCAGATCTTACGCAAAATTACGGGTCATGAAAATCAATTTAAAATTACTCCCCAAGCCGCTGCGAAGCGAGGCCATGCTACTCTAATATATATTAAAGAGTATTATTCCTAAAGACACAGCCCCTACTGTGCACACAGACTGAGAATACTATTCATCTAGACCTAAATTTACTGTGCAGTCTCCCCTAATTGGTTGTTTACCTGTGCGTGGCCCCACTGGTTTTCTCAGTGTGTTGGGATTGGCCCGGCGATTTTTCTCCGATTTTTTTGAGTTTGGGCCGGATCTTCTGCGTGGTGCTTTGCGAAGCTGAGCGCGTTGCCCACGGAGCAGGTTAGAGATCCTCCCCTCTCTCTCTTGTCTTTTCTCGCAGACCTCCTTCTTCTTCTGATGGTGACTCGACTCTGTTAGGGAAAAAAAGGGTGGGCGTCTCGAGATGTCAGGGAGCAAAAGGAAGCTTTTTCCTATCAATTCGTCGAGAAGGGAGATCAGAAACCACTCTTCCTTTACCTTTTCCCTTTCTTCCTTGGTCTCCCTTCTTCCCAATTCCCAAATCTCCCTCTCGCTCCTCTATCTCACTTCCAGATATCCTCTGAACCGTCTCTCACCGAAGAACTAAAGTCGCGCCCCGGTCGCTATGATTATCTCTCGATCTCTCCTCTCAGCTCCGCCGGTGCAATCGAAGAACCGTTGAGCATTCTCCCCTTTGAGTTTGGCTGAGGAAATTGGAGTCTTGCAGGCCATTGACGGGATGGGGTTCGCGAAGCACCAGCCGATGCGCATGATTCCATTTCACCCCGGGAAAAGAACACTGATTGCAGTTTCCCTGAAACTAAAATATTATAGGTGATCTTCTCTCTGCTCTCTTTATAGTTCTCCTGTGGGTTGTTGGTGAGTCTGGGATTCATTCTCTCTAGGGATTTTTTTGATCGCAGATAGAATAAGACATCTTCTCTCCATCTCCTTCTCACAAGTCTGTGGGTGCGACTAGACAGCGGAGCCCCGCATCTCGGCGATTTCTCCCTCTGTCTTCGGCTTTCAATCTAACCTTTTCTTCTCTTTTGTGGTCGTTGTTTGCATGTACTCCCCTTTGCAATCGGTTCCTTGGAAGTGGGGTTCAGGGAAGGTAAACTTGAACAGTCTTGGCACTATCAATTCTCAGCCTATTTCGATGTGGAGTGGTTCGCTCTTCGATTTTGATGATTTTGCTTTGAATGTTGTGCTTTGCAGCTTTGGGTATATGTTGTAGTAGCTTCCGGGTAGTGGTGATCGTGAGAAACAAAGGATTGTTTTGATGGGGAACCCACGATCTGCCACGCTTTTTCGGACCTTCACGTTCCTTTGGTCACTTTCTCTTTAAGGTGATTGATGTTTAGTTCCTTTTTCCACTCTCAAGATTGGGTTTATTTTGTCTTTTAATGAGTTTGTCGTCTCTTTTCCTCATTTGGTGTTTGTGTGGTTGAAGGAACCTGTGGTGCAAAGCTTGGTAGCTGAAGCCGATCATGATCGATTGATGGGTGGCGATAGTTGTTATTTAGAGGTGATGAGAAATTGAGAACCACAATACAACACAGAGGAGTTCCTTTTCAATTTTGATCTATTATAGTAAGCAATTGCATCGTCTAATTCTCCTCTATTTTTGTTTCAGTTATCTACAAAGAAGAAGGGTGGCCACCTAAGGATAAGCGGGCATTGACGATGCTGGGGATCACAAAGTAGGCCAGGGAACTCGAAACAGAGAGCCTCAGGTTACCTTTCTTGCGTTCTGTCCTTTGTTTTCTGTGGAGCATGAAAATTGGCCACAAGGATTTCGTCGCAAGGCAAGAAGGACGAAGAGGAAGGCTAGATGCGAAAGAGTCGAACTGCAGGCAGGCATGAATACTAACAACCATCATCAACCTCATCAGGTCATTCTTCAGCCGCAAAAGCCACCACCAACGCCGCCGCGGCTGCCGCAGTACATTGTTGTTTCCCATTAGAGCACTGCAGCAGAAGATCAAAGAACTGGTCATGGAATCCCCCGCTCATAATTTCGGTGGTGTTTGCTACAAAGGTGAATTCTCCCCTTCTTTTAGCTTTGCAAGTTGGGTTTTGTGTTTAATTCTAAATAGGTCAGAATTGATTCTTAATGTAGTAACTGTGAAGTTCAATGCTTTCTTATGCTCAGGGTGGGTACAGGGAATTCATCTATAGGTCTTAGATAGGCTATTCAATTGAACAAAGCATTAGGTTCGGGTTGCTATATACATCATGATGCTATTTGTGGATTCCATCCTTCATGACAAATTGGCATATTGACTTTGATAATTGTGGTTTGAATTGAAGGGTGGGGCAGTGCACCTATTTCTTCAAAGGAAGGGTCCACATTTGAAGAAGGGTCCGCAACATCTTTTTGAATGCCGATAAGAAGGAAGCATCGTTTGTATATGTATGATGGGGAGATAATTATTTGGTATTTGTGGTTTCAGGCTGCCTGTCCACGGTGGAGAAGAAGAACCATAACAGATGGTGACTAGATCCTCGACGGGGAAATCAGAGTTCCGGTGAGATCTCGAACTCAACTTTTGTACCTTTCGTTCTCATGATATCCAGTTGGTGATTCCTTTTTCTTCCCTTGCACTTACAGATCTGCTGGAAGTCTTGATTGGTTGAGTGTCCGCCGCAAAATCGTATTTCCATCGGAGAAAGTGATTGGATAGATCGGTAAAGGTTAGCCACCCTCCTCTATTACTCCATTCCATCTCTTTTTTTCTTCTCCCTGCTCCTGTTATCTATCCCATTACGCTTTCTGGTCTAACTTTTGTTTGCTCCTTTTGAGGGCAGTCCTGTATTATGGAGCTGAAAACTTGAGGACGATACAACAGGTGCTGGAAATGAAGATGATTGAACAACTGGGAAGGGACATAGATTTGAAGGTAGGAGGGTTGCAGTTTTCCCATTGATGCTCTGTGTTTTGTTAACTGCATGGTGTGTGGAATGTTTGTGGTTAATTTTCATGTTGTTGGTCGATTCTTAATGTTTTTTTGTGCATTGGTATGGAATATCTATGCATCAGTTTCATTTCTCAGAGTTGATGATTGGATTCAATGTTTGTAGCCTAAACCCCAAAACTTCGTTGGAGACTTATTGGAATTTCAGCAAGATCAGGTGGTTGATTCTGGGAGATTTGGAGTGGGAGGTTTTCTCAAAGGCTGATAATTACATCCACGACTTCTTGGAGGTGCAGGGGAAGAGCAGGGTGGTGAGCAGAAGCATTGATAGAAGATATTGCAGGTGGGAGAAGCTTCCAATGGGAGTATACAAGTTGAATACTGATGCTAGGTTGAATAGTAGAAGGGAGGCTGCTATGGGCTGTGTAGTGAGAGATTGGGATGGACGAGTGACCTTTTATGCAAACAAGTGTGAGAAGATCAAGTGGCCGACTATAGTGGCAGAGGGAAAGGCTATTCTCTTTGGTTTGCAAAAGATGCTGGAGAGGGGATTAGGCCCTGTGATCGTGGAGATAGATTGTAAAAAGTTGGTGGAGCTGCTAAAGGGAGAAGTGGAATGCAGGACTGAAATAAGCAGTGTGTGTAGGGACATAAAAGAAATGGGTAATAGATTGAATGTGATTGGTTGGAAATTTGTGTTTAAGGAAGCAAACGTTGTTGCTCATTTAGTGACTCACATAACCCCACCTGAGAGTGGAGAGTATGAATGGAATGATTGTGACTCTGTTGTTGTAGCTGATGTAGTGGCCTGTGAGGCCCGTGGTTAATATTATGAAATTCAGCAGGTTGTTTCTCACAAAAAAAAACACAGTTATTTGGATGCATTAGTGGTGCTGAACTTCAGTATTTGTAAACCATAGTTCAATTTTCAATTTTTCATGTTATAACTTCATGGTTTATTTGTTACTTGCTGTGCAGGCAAGTGTAGATGGGTTGTTCCATTCTAATACCGTATAGGTTGTCACAAAATCTCAAAGGAAATTGCAATGCCTACTGACTCTGTGAATGGCAAGCTTCTCATTGAGGATTAACATGATGGTCTTCCATGTAGCTTTCGCCTACCATTCTCATTCTTTAGGTTTTGTAGATAGCTTTTAAAATCTTTTTTTATTACTCAAATATGCAGGGCAGGTTCTTGCAGTATTTTAATTACTGAATTACTAAATAGTGTTGTGGGACTTTGTTTTGTAATCCCCGTGATTAATGAAATACCAGTCACAGAAGCTTCCCACGTTTGTCTTTCTTGGTTGAACAAGACAATTTTCCTTGGTTGGATGTAAAGGGGATTATAGTGAAGTCGTTTTTTATTAGCTACGTATTGAAATTTATACACTTCTTCCGATTCTTTTTCAGTTTGACTCCAGGAATTCAGTATGTATCTGTAGTTTATATGGACACTATAGTGAGGGGAATAAAAAAACTAAATTCTCACATTCTATTTCTATAATTGAACTCTATTATTTTTATTTCGCTTATTAAATAATTATCAGGAAATTGAACACTTCTATTTTGATTGTCTTTTGCCAGTAGTACTGGAATGTTAAGTTTTGCGTATGATGCCATTGCTTTTTAAGTAACCTTGGTATATTATAAAAATGTATATTAAAATTATATTTATACTAAAAATCTGTGGGTTTTTAAAATCAATTGTTTGGAAAAAAATGGAAGAATGCTTAGGTTTTAAAAATTTGCTGTGGAAAATCTTCGATTACAATCCCCAGTACATTTTGTGCGCTCCTGCTGTAATGAATCATCTATGTCGTCATTCTTGGTTTAGCAACGATGATACATGGTGTGGGTTGGCAAACCACGCAGTTCTACGTCCCATGTACACTGATGACACAGATCAACATACCCGCGGCAGAACGCGGATTAATTCCTATTATTTATTAAATTAAAGTTAGAACTTAAGTACTGTTACATAAGGGTTATACTACTTTGACATGTAGTTATTATTGTTTTTCTCACAACCACTTTTTATTGGTGGGTTGCTAATTATTATTTCTTCTTTTTGTTTTGGATAATTCATTCATGATGAGAGTTGGCAATGTTTTAGAGTTTTATTAAAATTAATATCGGAAAAGTTAGCATGAGAGTATTTTGTGCTAAAATCATAGTTCAATCGTGGTTAAAATCAGTCTTGACACGTCGTTCCAACCTGAGTCTCGATTTATGTTTAGGAAAAAAAAAACATAAATTGTAAAACCATAATGAAGGTCGTACATGTAAAGTTAACATTAAGGTATGTTGTGCTAAAATCGTGGTTAAATAAGCCTTGACACTTTGCTCCAACCCGAGCCTCAATGCATGTTCAGAATACATAAAAAATTGTAAAATCATAACGAAGGTCTTACCAGAAAAATTAGCACTATGTAATTTTATGCTAAAATCACCTAGCGATATAGATTCCGTTAGGAATTTTTCTATTGGACCGCCATTACGGTGCAATCGTAGTTCAACCGTGATTAAATCTGGCTAGATACATTGCTCCAACCCGAACATTGATTTATGTTCAAAAAAAACCTAAAATGGTACAACCATACCGAATGTCATACCAAAAAGGTTAGCATTAGGGTATTTTATGCTAAAATTGTAATTCAACTGTGGTTAAATCATGCTTGACACGTTGCTCCAACTTGAGCATCAATTTATGTACAGAAAAACAAAAAATTGTAAAATCATTTGTAAGGTCATAGCGAAAAAGTTAGCATTAGAGTACTTTGTGCTAAAATCATAGTTCAACCGTGGTTAAAATCAAACTTGACAAGTTGCTCCAACCCGAGCCTCGATGTTAATAGAAAATAAAAAAATAGTTTAACCACACCGAAGGTCGTACCCGTAAAGTTAGCATTGTGATATTTTGTGCTAAAATCATAGTTCACTCGTAGTTAAATCAGGCTTGACACGTTGCTCCAACCCGAGACTTGATGTATATTCCAAAAATACCAAAAATTATAAAAACATACCGATGGTCATACCAGGAAAGTTAGAATGAGGACATTTTGTGCTAAAATCGAAGTTCAACCATGGTTAAATCATTACATACAACAAAAATCACCTATCAAGTTAAATTCCGTTAGAGGTTTCTATTATACCGCTGCTAAACATGATAAAAAATCAAATACGGGTTAGCAAACAATACTTCTAATTCTATTAAAAGCCGCAACGAAGTGCGGAACATAATCTACCTAGTATAATGATGAAAATGGGCTCCATATGTAACGTCTTATGGCCAACTCTCAAATAATCAGAGGAACCAACCCCTCATACTAAGAATCCAATAACCCACAATGATGAAAATGGGCTCCATATGTACCGTCTTATGGCCAACTCTCAAATAATCAGAGGAACCACCCCCTCATACTAAGAATCCAATAACCCACTTTTCAGGACAAGAAGAAGAAAACAATTCACCAATACAAGAGAGAACACAAGTAGAGGACCAGCAAGGGAACAAACACCTAGTATCCAACTACCCAAAACAATATGATCCTAAGTAGGTCTATATTCCTTCAAAAAAAAAAAAAAAAAAACAACCCGACCAACCCATCTAACTCACCCGTATTTATTGTCAAAATTAAAATTTAAGATTGGATGAGAGCAGTGGCGGAGCCAGAAAATTGGCCAAGGAAGTGTCTTTATCATATCATAAAAATCACTTATAATAGAAAAATCAACTTTAAATGAAACAAAAAGTCAACATCACAATACTCTAAATTCATACAATTACATAAAACAGTATGACGTACACTGCTTACAACAAACTGCGACGAGATTTCATATTCTTAAAGCATTATAGAACACATTGCTTGTCCAAACTAGCGCACAAATCTTGTTCAATATATGTCACCAACGCGTCGTTCAACCACTCATCATTGTAAGCTCAACCACTGTCCATAAGCCTAGGAACTGAAAAAAAAAAATCACAACATAAAAAACTCAATTATAAATAAAAAAAATACTCGCCGGCGGCGGTGAAAACCTCACCTCGGCAGCGGTCTCCGCCGCCACGACCGCGACCTTGCCGACCTCTTCCCCTTCCTCTGTCGAAAACTATTTCTTCGTCGTCGGACATTTCCTCCCCCAAAACTTGTATCTGCTGCGCTGCGCGGTGGCCGCCCCTGTCTCTGGCGTCTTCGCTTGAGACCGAGGTGCTGCCGCTCCAGACTCAGGCTTTCCTGCTTGACGAGTCGGCGAAGCCGCCTTTGCTTCTGGCTTTGGCGCTGGTCGCTGCGGATGGGACGGTGGTGGTTGTGTGGTCGAAGAAGAAGGAAGAAGAAGAGATAAGGTAAGAAGTGGGCGCGGGTGGGAAAGTAAAAAAAAAGGAAAAGGAAGAGGAAAGGCGCGTTCTCCTAGGTCTCGGGCGCCAACGCTGTTATTAAAAATCAGCGCCTGAGACTCGGACGAATCCGCTCGAATTGATTAAAAAAATTCAATTAGCGGCTCCGCCTGAGTGTGGGACGGACTCGCTGTTTTCCCTCTAAAAACACAATATTTGTGTCAATTATTTTTAAACCCCATAATCACTGTAAAATAATAATAAAAAATAATATTTTGAGAATTAATCCTCTTTTTCCCACATGTAAAAACATAAATTGAAAATAATAGTAAATAGTGCCTAAACTTTTATGGATATGGATGCCGCCATATAAATGGGCCGATTTCTTTTTGGGGAATTTATATGGGCCTTCTAAATCCAGGAACAGTGTCTTTGTTTTGGTTTAGCGGTGAACGACCAAGAGTCCAAGATAGGCTTATATCCTAGGTCGACTGTACCACCGGCAACCAGATAGTCGGCGTCGGAGTTCCTAATTGTCATTATTCGCAAGTTAATAATTATAAGAAAAATGCAAGAACAAGAAAACAGAGAACGAGAAAGCTGCGGTGGCCGCCGCGCTAAGATGGATGCGGTGGACGAGAAGAGCCGGCGGATTGGGCGGTCGTCGGCGCGCGTTGAAGAGCAGCCAGCCCACTTCTGCTGCCGCGGTTGGAGGGAGTATCTGTATGAGTGATGGAGGGCGGTGTTGTTTTCCCGGGAGTAACGTAGGCTGGGCATAATTAATTGAGAATTGGGTTTTGAGGGGATGCTAAAATTGTCATGGAGTGGCAGGTGTGTCGGATCTGGCGAATCCGGATAAAACCAAAAATCCAAACATCCAGCGATGCAGAGCAGAGCAGAGTGGTTTACATTTGTAGGATTTTCACTCAAATCATAAAAAGGGATGGATTGGATTCACTTCCGTTGCGTAAACTGTCATTTCCAGCCACCTCCCAAGCGACGATTCTGTGGAGCCACAAAAACCATTTTCACATTTTGTCTCGTTTTTTCTTTCTTTCTTCTTCTTCTTCTTCCTTCTGGTGAACCGAGTGGGAGCTTGGAAAAAGAAAAGTTGTTCAAGTAAATGGCTTCAAAGGAAGGTCGGAATATGAGAGACCCGCTGATTCAAAAGAGCAGCCGCAAGAATGAGAGCTTGTGGATGGTTTACCTCAGCACTTTCGTTGCTGTTTGTGGGTCTTACGTTTTCGGATGCGGCGTGAGTTTTCGTTCCTTTGTTTTCTTGTTTACATGCATGGTTCTTGATCCTATTGCGGAGAAGGGTCGAATGTGGATGTTTTGTTTTAATTTTCTCATTCAAGCTTGCATCATTTTCTTATCCCTTTTGGATGCAGCAAGTTGTTACTAGCATTACCAAAAAATGTTTGAATAGTTGTCATGCCAATGGTGATTTGATTCTCTTTTCTGTGTTTTTGTTTGTTGTCTTGGTGTGGGTCGCAGGTGGGATTCTCATCTCCAACCCAAGATGCAATCAGGGAAGATCTGTCTCTGTCTCTGGCCGAGGTATGAATATCCTATTGTTTCCTTGAAGGGTTCTTCATTTAAGTTGGATAATGATAGTGACCCATTTTCCCCCGTTTCCCAAACCAGCTTCCAGGTTGTGATTTCTTGTAGTACTGAATTCAGACTAATGTTGAAATGTTTGCAGTATTCGGTGTTTGGTTCAATTCTGACATTTGGGGCAATGATCGGTGCCATTACTAGCGGTCCTTTGTCTGATCTACTTGGCCGAAAAGGGGTAATTTCACCATCAAACCCACTCACGCTAGCAAAAGTAGAAATCATACTTCATTTCTTCCGGGTGTTCATAGAGGGCATATTTCCTCACATTTGCAGGCGATGAGACTGTCGAGTGCCATCTGCGCTGCAGGCTGGCTTGCCATTTACTTAGCTAAGGTGCACGCTTCTCCCCATTATTCAGTCTTTTGAGGATCGATCATCATTAGGATCTTGTCTTAAATCATTAATTTTCTCTGTTTCTTTGGTTTGGACATCCGAAAGGGTGCAGAGGCATTGGACATTGGCAGATTGGCAACTGGCTTTGGGATGGGAGTCTTCTCATACGTGGTACATTTCCAGCTTTGCCATGAAAAGGCTATACAGACCATTTCCATTTCAAGTTTTGAATAACAATGATGATGATGTTATTTGAGCGATCAGGTGCCTGTTTTCATATCCGAAATTGCGCCCAAGAATCTTCGAGGGGCTCTAGCTACATTGAATCAGGTTATGATATGCGGTGGGGCATCAGTATCTTTCATTATTGGCACATTTCTAACATGGAGGGCTCTTGCTTTAACAGGTAAATTGAAGAAGAAAAAAATAACAATAGAAAAGTCTCAACTCTACATTTTTATACATATGCCTAAATCTATTTTGAGGAATTGGGATTTCATCTTCTCCTGAATCATGCGTGTGGTCATTGCAGGACTTGTCCCTTGTGCAATTCTGCTTTTTGGGCTGCATCTCATTCCAGAATCTCCCAGATGGCTGGTACCTTAAATTATGTTGTCTCAAAGATTTTAGAATCCAAGGCAGCTGATTTTGAATTTTGTTCACAAGGTTGTCTGCTGTTCATATTTTCTGCAGGCAAAGACAGGTCATGAGAAGGATTTTGAGGTCGCATTGCAGAAACTTCGTGGCAATGATGCTGACATTTCGGAGGAGGCAGCGGAGATTAAGGTTTGTTATGTTACCCTGAAACTGGGGAAGGATAGAAATAATCGTCACATAAACCTTTTTCTATAGTAGTGGATGGTTAAATGGCATAATGAGAAATCTACCTAGCTAACATTGGATGCTACTCTCACAGGAATATATTGAGACACTAGACCGGCTTCCCAAAGTGAAGTTTTTGGACTTGTTCCAGAGAAGATACCTACGATCAGTCATTGTGTGCCCTTTTGTTCCTATACTATTCAATTTCAGTGGCAAGCTTTGGTTGCTCTGTTCTACTGAATTGATGCATTTTGTTATCTTTTTGTTTGTGTATGATTTATGTTGGGGCTTGGCAGATTGGTGTTGGGTTGATGGTTGTCCAACAGTTTGGAGGAATTAATGGAGTGGCCTTTTATGCGAGCAATATTTTCAAGTCTGCAGGTACGTACGAATGTGAACTTGAGTTGTAAGTGTTGGAAATTGGCCCCAATGGTACTTTGTCATTGTTAAATTTGTTGGAATGTCTTTGTATCAGGAGTATCCCCCAGTGTTGGAACCATTACCTACGCCATTCTTCAGGTGTAGTGACCCTGACCAACCCTCAAAAGGAATCTCGAATAAGTAGTCATGATTCGAACATCTCACGGTGCTTTAACACATCTCACATGATCGTTTCCTCTGTTGTGTGTTGGGGCAGGTTGTAGTGACACTCTTAATTACACAAGTGATAGACAGAGCAGGAAGGAAGCCTCTTTTATTGGTAAAGATAAAACCACAAAATATCGTCACTTGGCCCCTACTGACATCTAGACAATCCCAACTCATATTCTTCTTCTTCTTAATCTTCTTTCGAGCAGGTTGCTGGGTCTGGTTTGGTGCTAGCCTGCATGATCATAGGCCTTTCATTCTACCTCAAGGTCTTCACCAAAATAGAGTCCATAAGCTTGTGTCTCTCTCCATAAGTATGGAATGCCATGTTTCTTATTCCCGGTTTTGTTTTTGTTTGCTATGTGAAATAGGTCAATGAATTGGCAATCGAATTCGTCCCCCTGCTGGCTGTAACTGGCATATTGGTAACCCAGACAAAAACTCGACATCTAACTTGCACAATCTCACCCCTTCAGTGGAAACCAAAGAAGGTAGAAGGTTGTCGTCTAACAGTGTCTTCTTTGTTTTGTGTTGTAGTTATATATCGGATCTTTTTCAGCAGGGATGGGTGCTGTTCCTTGGGTGATAATGTCCGAGGTAACTGATATGATATTTACTTGGAAGAGAGCGAGAGCAGTAATGTAGTATCATAGGATTCTTGAATCCTTTAACTGGACTGATTTGCTCCTTGGTTTGTTTGGTGTATTAGATATTCCCAGTGAACATCAAAGGGATAGCTGGAGGTTTTGCAACGTTAGTAAACTGGTTTGGCGCGTGGTCAGTATCTTACACCTTCAACTTCCTCATGTCTTGGAGCTCCTACGGTAAGATGAATGAATACTGATGGTAGTTAAGATCGAGTTTAGAGGGTGATTGATTGACTGATGAAATTTTGTGTTCGCCGGGGTGAGTAATTGCAGGTACGTTTCTTGTTTATGCTGCAGTCAACGCACTAGGCATAGTGTTTGTACTGAAGGTCGTACCAGAAACTAAAGGCAGAACCTTGGAGCAGATACAAGCAGCCATTAATGGTTAGAGAAAAGCTGGAAGTAGGGCTTGTTTTTGTGAGCTCTGGCTGGCAGGGAGCTGAAAAGGGAAATTAACATCTATAGGATATCAGTTAATGGCATATCGCCACTTCAAATTTTTTTTTTTTTTTTGCCAAATTAGTTTGTTCTTTCTCTTCGCTTCACTTTTGTTCTCAATTTCCCAAGTTGTTCTAGAATATATTTAACTAGTGTTTTTTGCCCGCTCATTATTCATTTGTATTTTCTTCTCTTATTTTACAACTAGCAGAGGGGATGGATTAAATTAGTGATTGTTTTTGGGTCGATCATAGAAGCCCATTAGTCCAATTTGAAACCACAAAGACTATCAGTTGCATTTCTATTATGTTTAGCCCAAATTGAATTATAATTTTTTTCTTTACTGTATCTATTAACCTAAACTTAAATAGACAATAACCAAATTGGGAGGAAACGTTTCCTCTTCCTTCTTCCCTTTTACGCCTCTGTTCACTCTCCGATGAAACCAGCAAGCGGAGACAAATTCCTTGCATGGATGCCCTCCCCTGCTCCCCTATCTAAATGCCAACTTTTATTCTGATTGTGGGAAGGTGATTTCTGTAAACCCACCTCGCAACTTCTCCCAATCAACTTCTTTTTCTCCCGATTTGCTAAACCCTTGCCCTTGGATAGCTTTTCTATGTTTCAATCAGAGATTTCCAGCAAACACTTGCCAGCTCCACAGGTACGTTAGTTTCCATACCTTTAGATACAATGTGGTTCCATTTATTAAAATAAGCGACATTATATATTCTTATTTATTTAATCTTGACGTAGGAATGAGCAGTACTTCAGGACGCATTTATCAAAGTTGTTTTCTTAGATTTTGATTACGTATTGCCTATGGAATACAACTAAGACACTGGTTGATGAGAAAAGGACCTGCCAAGAAAATTTCGAGTGAGCAGGGCATTAGGTCAAACGAAGCAGCATCCTGTTCCATAACAAAAACTCTGACGAATTGACAGAGTCCTCCTTTCTTTCGTATTGTTTACTTCTCTTCTTTTGTATATGTTTAGTTTATTAGTGTCAGTCCAAATTGCAACATCTCAATTATAAAATGCTTCCCTAAACCTTACAATTATTTAAGTAATTAGGAGAATTCAATTGAAAAACATATTGTTAGAATTCAACATTGGAAAGGGGATATGTGCTGCGGTCTAGAACAACAACTGATATTATTTCTTTTAATGATCCTAAACACGACAGGTTCTTGAAAGAATAGAGATTGATCCGAAGGAAATCAGAAACGTATATTGACCAACATGGACATCATACCTCAATGGAATCCGTAAGTATTGCTGTTCTAACCCTATATAATATCATATTCTTGTGTTCTCCTAGATAGTGAATGCAATTGCTAATTGTTTAAATTATAGGTTTTTTACCCTCGGTGATGATTTCGTTGTGAATCTGAATTATCAAAATGCCGTAGCTGTGTCTGAGATTGTTAAAACCATAGATCTTATCCCAAAGCAATTGGATTGTGACAATCAGGTGACTAAGATAATATATTTGTTATTTATCCTTTTTCTGTTCCTTATCTTATTAATTTGTATCTTATTTGTTTACTTTTGCAAAACCCTTCCTTTTCAATTATATCATGGCACTTCATACATTTTCTCCGGTCGTGTAATAGAGCCGAGGAGGTCTTGGTGTAATGCATCCAGGGTATTTTTGATTCACTTGACCATTGAAGATGATATAACTGATGTTGAGGTCGTTTTTCCATCATTATACTTGCGAAGAATCATTTCTTCTGTAGTCAATCCTTCAGAGATTGACAATGCCGATTATGTTATACTTCTCAACTTGATTGGTGAAAAATCATATGAGGCCATGGTCACAATTAGTCCTTGGAACGACGTGGGGAATTATTTTGATATATTCTTGGTGAAAATGTTCTTCCCATCGGATAACTGAATAGCATGTAGGTATTGTCAATATGATCGGATTAATGTAATTAGTGGTACACTCCTATGTTATGTCTCATATTTTGTAAGCGTACTAAATATGTGAACGCTAAGTTATTTTGTAAGTCTAATAACAGTTTTAGGGGTGGTTGATGTAAAATTTGACAAATATAACTTATTGTTGATATTTAGTTATGATATTTAGCTTATTGTTGAGTTAACCATGTACAAAACAAACATCACTGCTACTATTACTGCTTTCTAATCCCAAATTCCTTCATTTCATTATAGGAGCTAATGAGCAATCAAATTGGCAAATGGAATTTCAGCATTGAAAATGCCATCACTTGACACTTTACAAATCCCTATACTAATAAAACATAGTACCAAAAGGTAAAAAACATCAAAAGACCTAATTTAATAAAGTACCAAATTAGAAACATAGTTTGAAATGTGCAACTACCCAATTTCGAACGTTCACCAAATGAACATTAACTTACTAAATGATATATGAGGAGGAACACTACCCGAACAACTTACTAACCACTAAAAGACACTGATTTGTGACCTCATTAACACGTCAAACTTCAATCATGAAAATGAGAGATATGTGAGTAATAGATCTCAGGTTGGCTTCAAAAGTAGTAGTCCAATCGATTCTTGGGTTCGGGAAGAGCTGTCTGCCTATTTTCTTAAAGTCGGATGACAGGAACACAACACTGATCTTCATAGCTCCATCTTTCAGTGTCAATTCAACCATGTACTTCTGAAAAGTAGGTGTCTAGAATACATCGACAGTGTCAATTCATAATTTAATAAAGTACCAAATTAGAAACATAGTTTGAAATGTGTAACTACCCAATTTCAAACGTTCACCTAATGGACATTAACTTACTAAATGATATATGGGGAGGAACACTACCCGAACAACTTACTAACCACTAAAAGACACTGATTTGTGACCTCATTAACACGTCCAACTTCAACTATGAAAATGAGAGATTTGTGAGTAATAGATCTCAGGTTGGCTTCAAAAGTAGTAGTCCAATCGATTCTTGGGTTCGGGAAGAGCTGGCTGCCTATTTTCTTAAAGTCGGATGACAGGAACACAACACTGATCTTCAAAGCTCCATCTTTCAGTCAATTCAACCATGTACTTCTGAAAAGTAGGTGTCCAGAATACATCGACAGCTTCAACTGTTGCCTCAATAACAAATTTCATTATGAAAAGAGATTGGACTACTATTCAGTGTCATTCCCTGTTGGCTGCTATGATCGGCCCAAAAACAATCACTAATTTAATCCAGCTAGACGGCCAACGGGCCAGCTCAAAACGGAGCACTTCATTAAGCGGCCAGGAGAATGAAATGACAATAATGCTCGCCGTGAAGCTCTCAGAAGCCTCCAATTTTGAATCCCTGCAAAAGTAACCCATGAATCTGCTTCATAAATTACATTTCTTTCCCATAATGGTTTACCTGAAACAGAGATGCAACTATGACTAATAAGAATGAGAAAGAAATTACCAAATAAAGCAATTTAGCGTAAATCTAAGTATTCGAAATACAACCATTAAATTGATTATTGCAGATAAACGCATATAAATTTGTGCCCACTATCGCACTTGCTGATATCATGTTCTTTTATTAGCTTGAGTTCATTTATACATAACCGTATATAAAGGTAAGGTTAATCATTTAAAATCTTCAACTAAAGAAAAACCTTTAACTTTACCAAATACATATACCCCGATTAACTCGACAGATAAATACTTTAGAATATAGAAGTCACTTGTTTGAGACTATAAACGATCCTTTTACAAATTACAATAAACAAAAAGTGAAAGATAAATACTTTTACTCTATAAAATAATAAATTATTAACTCTCCTCTTTCTCTACTTCCTACGCAAACTACAAAGCCATCACAATTAGAGGTGTTCAAATGGTTACCGTGGTAATAACCAAACCAATTAAGCCTAAATTTTATTAACCATGGAATAAAATGTCTTAATGAAATCGTCCAAATTAACACGAAAACCAAATTAACCAAACCAAAGTTTAATTGGTTTGGTTAATCGGATAATCGGATTAACCAAATAACATAACATTACATGAAAACAAACATAAACTATCATTTTATATAAGCAATAATAATAAGACTAACCATCCATAATTATCATCATCATTCGAGTTAATACATCATTCATCATCTTTGCACCTAATATAGGTAGCTTACAACAAACCCCTAAACATAAATACATACCAATACCCCTCGTCAGGAAGTTAAAGCTTTCCTACAAAACACTTAAACTATACATAGTTTGAGGTGGTTGTCATGGTATTGTACGTAATCCTAAAGTCTAGAAGTTGTCCAAAATGTTTTGGTTTAGTAAATATAGGCAGACCCATTTAATTTTTTATCCATAATGTATTGATTTGTTGTGCACATGGAAATACAATAGGGAATCACGAAAGTTTGGTTTGGTTGGTTGCATGTAAGTATAAATAATTTTGTATATTAGGTGTATCATTAATTGGTTATTTGATTTCATTGGTTAGCAATGTTGAAACCAAACCAAACCACCTAAACCAAATTAGCTAAATTATTTAACCAAACCAAACCAAACCAATTATCCAAATTAACCAAACCAAATTAAGCGAATGCTACCGGTTAATATGGTTACCACGGTAACCAATCCGTTTGAACACCCCTAATCACAATCCACACATCTCTCATCCATACGAAATGTCTATCTTATTTTCTCGGTATTTCTCCAAAAATAAAAAATAAAAAATCCAACAAAGCTTCTTCTACTTGCTTTGCTTCCAACCCCGCCGCTTCATCAACTTTCAACATCTGAATATCTTCCCTCTCCAAAGCCTCTATTCACCGCCTATTAATGACTACAACCAGCAACAACACCATAAGAGGAGAAAAGAAACAACAACTTTATTCCTTGGGCAGATATCAAAGGATTCGAGGTTTTCAGCGCTTTATATAATTAAAATACGCAAATTATTTGCGCACTGCCATAAATTCGCGGTTTGCTACTACAGAGCAAGAGCCACTAAAGGAAAATGTATTTTTAACCACCGTAACTTAACTACTGTATAATATACGGTGGTTAATACTGATTAATCAACTACCATATCAAGTACGGTAGTTAATAATGCATTTTAACCATGGTATTTATATACGGTGGTTTTTGAGTGACTAATACGGTAGTTATTAGTTCTCTGAGGGCCCAAACTGAAAGACACCGTGGTTATTGCTTTTTTAATTATTAAAATATTATTTTAGTTACTTTTGTTGCTGTCTGCTCATTGTCAAGTAGAGGGGAAAATATCTTTTCCCAGCAAACAATCGTATGTTTTCTCCCTCTCTTCAGAACCAACCTCAG